GGAAAGAGAGCCCATCAGCAAAAGCTCAGCCCTCCACTCCTTGCTCTGCAACAGCTGAGGCCACAGCACGTTCTCAGTAGCATCTGATTCATAGCATCCATTCATTGTCAGATACTGGGCTCTAGTTCATACGCCGTAATTGTTTTTGGTTAGATAGTTACATCTCTTGCTGTTAAAGGACAATTGTTAAAACTTATGTTGTAGTAACCAATTATGGAGGTATCGAGAGCCATATATACCCCTCAACTTCCCCTGCCTGTGCATTTCAAATGTATCCCTGCTGCAGTGAGAATGCAGGCACCCCTTTCCTTGTAACAAGGAAGGCAACAGCCTCTTGGAAAAGAACATGGTAGAAACTAAGTGAACTTTTCTGGCTAGGACAGCTAACCTGTGGACCATGGATTAAAAAAAAAAATCCATTCTATAGAGGCACTGAAAACAAGGAAAAACAGTCAAAAAGGCAGCCATTAAGTAAAAGAAAAAATGGAAGGAAAACGTTGCTGAACAAAAGCAGTGTTCAGAAAACTCCTAGAAGATGCTAATTGCCTGGAATTTTATTAGTAATTCTTCCTGTTGCATTCACGTGGTTTCAAAAGCCAGTTGCCAAACTAGCCTTTACAGAATAGTTTTCATTTCTATTGAAATGAATGTTTTTTACCATGAGGGCTGCTTTTGTGATTTCCTGTCAATGGGCTGTATATGAACATAGTTTTAGATAAACACTACAGGGCCATCTTTATAGCATAGCTCAGTGGGGACCTTGCACAGACTTTACTTGTTTTTGTTGTGTAGGGACTTGCATAATAGCAAAAGGCCTGGCTCAAATGATCGTGATACTGTTACAAAATTAATGATTACTTTGCTGGTTTTGAGGATATCAAACATGAGCTGCAACCCTTCGTTAACCAGTTCTTCATTATAGTCCTCTTCCTTTATGGTGACAAACTCCCGTAAGAGGGTCTGTACCACCGAGTAGCGAGACTGGTAGAAGGTTGTCCGTAGCGACTCGATCCACACATGGAGCTTCCATGGGACTCCTGTAGCCATAACAAAAGGGATAGTGAAAGATGATGGTTTGCTGAAGTACCTGTGGTGGATACTTCTGCTGCTAGCACTAATAGCAGCACTGGAGTAGATCTTGACATTTTCAAAAGTGCTTTACAATTAATTCATCTAAAGTGAACATGTGGAAGGCAGATATTTTTGTCGTGGTATTAAAGATGACTGAACTGGGTCATGGGCAAACTGAGTGACTTGCCTACACTAGCAGAGGATTGTTACCAGGACCTTAAGTAAGTTAGAATCTCCCTTGACTGTTAAAGGCCAGAAACTCCCTGTTGTCTTTCCAGCTTCATCAGTAGTCAGAACCACAATATGTATTTGAACTAAACTCTTTAAGAATACTTAACCTTACACAAACAGTGTGAGGTCTTTTCTCCTGGTAACCTGTAACAGTCTAGACACACATACTGGAAAGCCTCTCTCGCCTACCTTTAGATCAAATGTGTTCTTTCACCTTTAAACCATTGAGTCTCAGGTGTTCTCTGTATTTTTGAGACCAGCCTCTTTAGCACTGAATTTTAGGTGTCAGAATATCAGAGTGAGGGAGATGCCCCTGTTCTCATTCTTGGGAACAGAGGAGCCAGCTTTCCAAAAGTGAGGGACATCTCAGATCAATGGGAATTTGAAAAAACTTGTGAGAAGCCTTAAACAAATTTTAATTTAAATTACAGACTTCTTAAATTACAAATGATTCCCATAAGCTTGGGACAGCTTTGCAGCTGGGGTTACAGACTCCAAGTGACACGTACAGAGGAAAAAAAGCTGTTTCAGTCCCTGAATACTGCTTGATGCACAGTGCCCCAAATGAAGAAAACAGCTTACCAAGGGACCTGAGTTCCATGGTGATGTCCACGTAGCCGTGCTCAGCACTGTAGTACATGGCCTCCTGCAGAGCCTTCATTCTCGTTTTACATAGCCGGACTTGCCCCTCACTGGAGCTGCCCTGGCTGGAGGTGTCACTCTCCACTCCCTCAGCTAAAATCTCCTCCAGCGAGAGGACATCTCCTTTCAGTTGCTGGGGCTGGGTCAGGAGCTTGCGTAGAACATTCCTGAGGAGGAAGAAGAGGTGTCACTCATTAATAAGTGACGTATCAAAAATTCAGGCAGCACTGTGGTGATTCAGGTTTAGAGATCTGGCTTAGTAAATAACTTCCTTCGCAATGACAAAGTTGGGCCTTGATAGACATCCTCTGGCAGACACAGCAACGTTTCAGGTACTCTTCCCCCCCCCCCCCCCCCCCCACCCCCCACCACCCCCCAATACGCTTCTGTGCCTTAATGGTGCCAACGCACATTTCGGAGTGTTAGGACAAACTGATTTTTATTGCAGTCTTTACTTTGGCATGGAAACGTGCTTTCTTCTGCCAATCCTAAGTGTGGTAACATCTTAAGCTCTAAAGGAAGATTTTTACCAGCGTGTCTGTTAGAAGCCTTGTTTTCTCCCAAATGACCACCTTCAAGGACTGTTATGCTGTTTGAGTCAAATTTGCTTCCTGTGTGAGTAAACTGAAACCATAAAAAATGATAGTTCTGCACCATTAATTCCAAGGAGAATTTTTTGGTTTGGAATTTCACATAGCAGTTACAAGAAATAGGCTTTCTTGCGTCCAAACAGTACCTTCAGAAAGCTTGCATCGTTGTCTCCCTACAGACAGCTGGAGCCATCTGCAACAGACATTTCCCATCCCCAGGAAATCCACCCCAGTATTCAGCTGTGACACCGAATTGCCACTAGCTGGCGCACTCCTTGCACCCATGCACACTACTGGGCATGAATTGCAATGCTTAATTCTGTGCTTTAGGATCACTCTACCCTATAGATTCAGGAATAAGCCTTGAACTTCACAGTTTGCATAGTCAGATGTTACAGATGATAGTGGGATGGGAACAGAGCACTGTATGGTTTTATGCTATAAATAACAGCATTAGACAGATCCAGTTCTGCTGAGTTTTGGGCCTTGTTTGAATTTGGGATATTTTCTCTAGCGTACTCGGCCTAGATGTGCATTTTTGGCACCACTGTAAAGCAAGGCTATGTGTAAGGAAGGTAGCTATTCTTTACCTGCTACTAGAAACGCCTGCTGTTCTGCTGTAAGACCCTCTGGATATCACTGCCCCATCTCCATGAGCGGTTTGGGGCTGTTTTAATTGGCTCGTTATGCTAATATGCTAACGTTTTCTGGGACACCCAGTGGAAGGATTTCTAGATGAGTTTTTAAGTAATGTCTTATTTCAAAATAACAACCCTGCGAACAGTCAGGGATGGAAAACCCAAACAAGCTTTTCACTGCTTTAATGACTGATCTCTTGGTCAGGCACTCAGAAACCAGAGATCCAGTCAACCAAATTCTGTTCCACGTTATTTTTGCCACCGTAACGTGACTTGATTCCATCTCAGAACATGAACCACTATCTTCATAATCGATCTTCAGATGAAACTTAATTAATAATCTGCTCATATATGGCCTAGAACCAACTCCCATTCACTCTTGCTTACTGCTGCAGAGCTAGACCAGCAAATAGGAGAATAAGAAAAGCAAAGACATTTCTGTTGCATTTTGTACCTTTGACTAAAGTGTAACAACTCCTTTCTTTTTTCAAAGTTCTAGTTATTGAGCAAGGAAAGGCTTATGTGAACTTTCTTGAAGGGATGCAACAGAAAGCAACTAGCAGTTTAAAGAAGTGTTCAGTTCCCCAAAAGGTTCAAACATAGCACTATCTACATCAGCATCAGAACAGTCAGAGATACTATGCTGAATTAAAAAATGTTTGCTATCAGGACAGGCTTAACCCCATCTTCTGAACTGCACACTCAGGGACTGGGGCAAGACCTGTAACATAAAGTCATGTAGGAATATCTGCAGTGGTAGCCTTAGCCAAAATAAATCTCTCTTCTGGACATGAATGAAGCTTTACCTGTGTCCATGTGCGGCTGAGTGACTAAAGCAATTCATATCTTCGTGAAGTGATGAAGACATACCGTTGACTTCCAACATACTCAGCAGGGGATCAGCACCTCTGCTTAGTAATAAGCTGACCAACTCGTAGTTCCCTAGGGAAAAAAAATGACAGAAATATAATAATGATGATTTCATTGTTACTACCTCTTTGAAAGCATGACATAGGACTGCTAACAGGCAGACTGTACCAGCAACTTTTATGCTAACCAGTTAAGGCTTTCAAAGCATCCTGCAGGCATGCATTTGACTTTGTAACATCTCTGAGAGAGAGAAACCGAGTCACTCATTCACATCATCATAAGCTGTTAGTCACTGCCAATCCACACTGGGTTCTTGCTAGTGTTCTAGAAATGAAAAAAAGCTGATTTATTAGTATCCAACTCACAGTGCTACCCTCTTGAAATCTTTGTTATATCCCACAATGTCTTAGAAGGCAGTGCAAAATGAATCCTAATGCATTTTACAGCTACCTGACCTGAGCGTGAGTCAGCTGCGGTTGCTGTGTGGTAACACGAGACAGAGTGGGCCACAGCCACACTTAACTCACCTGCTGCTGAAGCCAGTTGAAGTGGGGTCTCAGCATAATTGTCTTCTCCACTGTTAACAGCAGAGCCCTCAACATGGGCACCAGCATCCAAGAGCAGCTGCAAAAGACGCATTGAAGACAAGGAGTTGAGAAAAGAGCAATTCAGAAACACATAACAGAAAAGACTGTGTGTTTCTAAAGGAAAACCAGTTGATTTATGATGAAGAGTGCCCGCGCACAAAGGGACATCTCAAATGCTAAAGCAAAACATCCATTGCAAGGCAAATTTCTCTCACATTTCTTCCCTCAGTCTATGGCTAAAGCCTCTGCATGAATGCCAATTTAGAGCTTTCTTATTTTCTTTTGCTTTACTGTACTTTTAATGGTGAATTTATTCTGGTGAAAGGTGGTTCAACTGGAATTTCAGAAACAAGCTCTTTTCTATTTATTACTTGTTAAAAAAAAAAATCTCCCATATGAGCATGGTTTTGCTAATGTAATTCTCCAGCTCCAAAGGGGCTCTGCAGTCAGAGCTTCTCCTGAGCGCAGGAAGTCCATTTCATTTAGTTTCATGCTGTGCAGAGGAAACAGGGTACCTTCAGGGAATTAGCCCTGGAGGCCAGACATACCTCTCGCGCCCCGCACAGCTCGGATAAGCAGGCCGCAGCAGCCTCAGCGATTTGCCGTGCACAGAGCCTGCTTCACTGAACATCCAGCTACATCATTTGTTTCACGGGGGAAACGACCCTCTCCCAGATGAAGGGGAGAAGGTTACAAGATGCTGGGATCTTTTACGGCTGGCTAGTGCTGGCTTAGTGCCAGTCAGCGTCCAGGCACCCAGCGTTTCACTCGTAGCCACAGAGCCGAGGGGCTGCCCCCCTCCTGCTGGCAGCGAGAGCAGCCCATGCGTGTCAGAGCCCTGTGCTGCCTGCCGTGGAGGTTCGGCCACCGAGCCTAGGGCTGCGTTGTCTAACATTGTCACAATTTAAGTCTCGGCTATCCCCAACTAATTATAACACTGGCCTTAGCGCACACAGCTCCTCCATTCACGTTTTCATTATAAAACTGTAGAGCATTAAGGACAGGTTCATTGGCTAGTTTGTTTCTCTCTCCAGCTACCAACTTTTCCATGCAATTATCACATGCTAGCCCTTAACTGGACACGTGGTTTCATGCACCGATTTCAGAGAAAGCTGACATCTACCCTTTACTAACAATCTCTGAATGAAAAGATTTTATGTAAGCTTTAGACGTTTCAAACAAAAGAAAAGAAACAAACATTGCAGGTAACAGTCTAACAGGAGCTTTGATATACTTGGCTACGTCTCTTGGGAGAGCCACACTCTCACCTCTCATGTCAATCGAGGCTGTCCAACCTCTATAATACCAAAGACTGCACTGGCAATTGGCCAGAATCTAATCTTCGTAATTATTTACAAATGTACACAAACAACAAAAAAAATGAGTGTGCGCAATCGCCACCTGCTTGCATCTTTTTTCCCTTTTGAGCAGAAGGTAAATTAAATTCACCAGCAACTGAAAAGCTGCAGTGACTAGTTTTGAATTTCTCTTGGAGTCAGGGTAGGATTTCAAGGATCCCACCCTACTCTGCTGCCTCCTGCAGTAATTCCACAGAAAGGAGAGCAGGGGAGGGTGCAAGGGCCATGACAGTCTGTTAGGTCTTGTTCTTTGTAATCCCTGAGAACTGCATGAAAGACGGTTACAAATCATACGCTGCCATCAGAGCAGAAATGAACATGCACCTAATTTTTTGCACACGTAAATGTATAAAGCAATTAATATCTGATGTTGTCAAAAAGCATCCCCCATCAAGCAGTCTACTTGTAGCTGCTCCCTATGAAGCACCAGGTCATCTAATACCATAGAAATGATTGTGCTGCTTTGTTCTGGAACTGGTAAACCTTGAACCAACACTGAAAACAAAGAATCAGGAGCTATACTAGCTTCTGTTACCAAAGCCTTGCTAAAAAAGTAAGGAATCAATTTGCAGTTCTTTGAGAAAAGCATCAATTGCATTCTCCTCCTTTTCAGAAAACATGAGTCTTCACTGATTTTAGAAGGCTTCCATAAAAGTACACACTGAGCCCATGACCGACCCATGCTTAAGCAGCCTGCCGGTGAGGGTGCCTGCCCAACACGCAGCTCACCGCTACACTTCAGTCCTTCAGTGTTTGCTTTAAAGACTCCTGACTGGTGGCTTTCCTCTGCTTACCTGAACGACAGATATATGCCCGTGTAAAACAGCAAGGGTAAGAGCAGTCCAGTGCCGGCTGTCAGGATGGACCGAAGGGTATCGTGGGGAGGTGCTGGGAACCTGGGGAAATGGAAGCAGATAGTTATTAACCATTACAGTATCTGTCCCCCAGCCCCCCAATACCTTTAGGCTTTTACATATCTGGCTTTTCACTTTGTAAGTAAGCGACAACCCCTGGGAATGGTAACTAATGCCGGTTAGCGAACGCTGCCAGCACTAGTCACGCTGGCCAGTCCCCTGGGCCTTTTTAATGGGCCTGCTGGTTTCTTCTAGTGGCAGCTCTTTCAGGAAGGCAGCCCTCTTACCCCCTCCAGCCCTATTAGACTTGCCAACGCCAGTCCTAATCGGAGGCACCGCATGTTCCAAGAGGCTTTCAAAGTGTTCTTCTTTTTTTCTTTTTTTGTTTTTTTTTGGTATTTTTTTTAAAATCTCACAAATCCCTGAAGCAATGATTTCTGAAAGAAGTGCCTTTTTCTGAGACTGGTACAGAAGCTTCTAGAAATGAAGCCTTCAGTTGGTAGGAGAGATTTCATAACTGCTCTTGTTAGTTTACAGATCAAGGATGAATATTTGAGGGGAGAGGACCCTCCATTACTCACTGGTATATCCAGATTTGCTCCAGCATCTATAAGCATTTGGACCATGGCTTCATCCCCAGCAGCGCAGGCATACATTAGTGGGGTCATACCCTTCAGGAAGGGGAAAAAGAGGCAGTTAGTTACCTTTTTTGTACCAATCATCACTAAAACTTTCTGTCACAGATGATAGAGCGAGTTTGAATTTTACATGCAGAAAGTGTGTGTGTGTGTGTGCACGTGTGCATGTATGTGCAAGAAAGAACAGCATATATGTGTGCGTACAAAACGTTTGGTGTCTGTGCCTAGCGGGCACAAGGGACTAGAAGGGGAATGTCTCCTCCGAACAACCAGGAGACAAGATTGCAAGACCTCAGTCTCAAAGGGATCGCTCCAAAGCCCAGTCCCTGTATTGTCACAGCTCTGGAGCTTTCCTGAGGCTGCCCCCTGCCCCCAAATCATTTCTTGGATCATTTGTACCCAGATGAACAAAAAGCAGAAAACAACACAAATGTACACAGATGAATTTATTTGGCAAATATTATCCCCACTGCTAAAATACTATTTGCTACAATATTTTGGTATTTCTATCCCATAAATCAATATCTCTCCTTTTCTCCCTCTCTCCCCTTTAGCAGCAAACCATGAAGGCTCAGAGATTAACTATGAGAGAAATGAGTCTCACTTGCAAAGAGTTCACTCCAGAAGTAGCCAAGACCAGGAAGGAAATGGCCTAGCAAAATCAATTCCTGCTCCCTTCTTAAAGCTTCTTCCTGCCCTTAATTATTTTGAAAGTTTGAAATTTCCCACAGGCAGCATCTCTGCTGCCCCTTGGGTAATAATACAGCTTCATCTTTAGAGACAGACCTCGGCCGTATACCAGAAGTAAACTACACATAGAGGAGTTTCAATATATCTGCAAAGGCATCTCTTCAAAACAGCAACAATTCCCATCTTCCTGCATCTGAGGCAGTTTGCCACGTTTGCAAAGACAGGGAGTTTTTTTAAATTGAGAAAAAAAAAAAGGTGTTTGTTTCTTGGAGGGGGGCATCCTTGTAATTACGAGATGAGTGAACTTAATGGAGAACAAAAAACTCAGGTCTGCAGGCACAAGCCCACATTTACTGCCATGGCCAGGGTTTTGGAACTACAAGGTTTGTACAGACCTATCTTTCCTTTTGGCTTACATCATTTTTGCATTCCCTGCTTGCTCCTCAAGATTAATTTTGATTTTTCAAGTTCAGAGATCTGGGAAAAAACCCCAAAACAAAGGGTGACTTACCTAAATGACAGCTCATTCTCATTGCTGTGACAGCCATAATGAGTGTTTGTTTATCGGGGATTTTTTTTTTTTTCAAATTAAAAGCTAATTCAGTGCAGTGAACGATGCCCCAGAGAACAGAGTCTACTATTATTTGATGGGCCTGAGAGCACAAGCAGAAGCAGTTAACAACTCCACAAACTGCCCAGTCCCTGTGTTAGAACACAGCTGAGCAGGGAACACTGTGAAGATGAAAATATAGCTACCTCAGCGTGACAGACTTGCAAAGCTACCAAGTGATACCAACGCTAGTAAGGTTTTCTGTGCTATGTCCTACACTCCAAACGGTACTGAGAATTTATAATTCGCTTCATACAGACTGCCTGAACGCCATCAGACAGTAACACCTTTTGGTCACTCATCACTGACCCGGACTGGATTTCAGCTGAGGAACCAGAAGAGAGCATCGCTGCCAAAAAGCACTTTGGAAGCTTAGTTTTGACACTGTCCTAGCGTTAAGGGAGCATCAGACTTTCCATTCACAGCCAGCGTATTAACCTGTCTTCCGTCAGTGTCTGAGACGTGCCATCCAAGGAACATTCCAACTGATAAAGAAACAATTCACCCAAGGCTGACCTACATTCCAGCTGATAAAGAAACAATTCACCCAAGGCTTTAATTTTTTTTTTTTTTTAAGGGATACATTTTCAGACTAAAACACAAGCTCGAATTAGAAAGGCCTTGGAGAAGTAACACCTAAGACCTCATGCATTGATTTGCTCCACTGAAGTGGATACACAATGTGTTCATGCAAAGAACGTTTTTCTTTAGTTATATGGCATACCTGATCATCCATGGTATTAACCCCATCAGGTCCCAGTGCATCTATTGCTTGGTTGATCAGATCTGTCCTTCCACAATTTAACATTCGGAAACCCAAATCCTGCTGGAATTTTTCAGTAGCAGCCTTAGCATCCAGTCTCCGGAAGGAACTAAAGCAGCATTCAGGCCTGTGAAGGACAAAATCATTTCTATAGTTTTTTGTTTGTTTGTTTGTTTTTCCTGCCTCATCTCCTACAGAAATCAGGCTTATGAAATGTTGTGGTTTTATCCATCATATACCTTCCCCACAATCTTCTGAAAATTTGGCTAACTTCAGCCATACTAGAGGTAGAAGTTTTAAGTCTTAGAGACAGTAAATTCTTATAAACACTGCACAAATGTGGTGCCTCTACTTGTTGGTGCCCTCCTCTGAGGGAAAGGCAGGAAGAAATCTTTATTCCTTCCCAAGAGCAGTAGTTTCCACCCAGCCTGGCCCTGCAGCGGTAGCGCAGAACCGGGCACAGCTTGTGCTCCATCTTACACAACCCAAGAGGAAGGGGTGCAGGAATGTGCCCATACCACGATGGGCAAACCCACTGAGCAACCGTGGTACAACAGCAGTGAGGTTATAGTGGTGGGAGAGGCGCAGGTCTCACAGGATGCAAATCTGTAGGAATCAGGTGTCATTAGTTCTGCTTCTCACAAAAAACTCCCCAACAGTTGTTTTGAATAAGTAATTAGCTGCATATAGTACATTTTGAGATGGCTGTATGTATTATGTGTATTTTCCTGTATAGAAATTTTTGTTGTATAATGATAGTCCATCAAAGATATATAAAAAATAAATTCAAAGGAGGAGAAATAGGTGGAGAGAAAGTATATATACAGAAAATATCGGTATAGTTCTACGATGGAACAATTATTCTGTCTGCCAGACTAGCTATTATTTTGAAATAAAAGACACTTCTGAAAGAAGATAACGATCCTTTATCTTTACATTCTTTCAGAAAAAAAAATCTGTTTTTTCAAAATGAAACTTAGGTAATTGAACATTCTCAACTCCTTTCCAATGCCTCAGTGAAAGGAAGTGTATTAACATTTTTATAAGACTCTCTTAAATCCTTATCCTGAAGATGACTATCAGAGGACCTTTATCTTGTCTGGAAGGAGTCCAGAGATCACGGTAATTCCTCTGCTTATCTGCTCAGAGACTTCTGAATTCCAAACCTGGAAGCGTGTCTCCTTCAGCGAAGAAACACTGCCAAACTGGAGGTGTTTCCTCTCTCAGCTGGGCACTGATAGGGTCAGCCCTTTGATGTTATTTCAGAGTGAATGCCTTCTCCACTAGTTGTCTGGTTTTCAGCACAGGCTGCTGTGCTGGAGTGAGATATTGGCCCTGCCAAGTTCCTTTGAAAAATGAGATTCTTTCAGCACGGCTAACCTCTTCTGGAAACTTTGTACGGCCTGCCAGATAAGTAAAACACTCATCACTTCACTTAGAAGATTTGAGATGAATCTTATTCAAGTATTAATTCATCTAGTCATTTTTTATGCTTCTGAACTTGCATTGATGGCTGACGGCAAATGGTGACCAGATGCTACAAACAGTGTGCCGAGTTAACAAAAATCAGTCCACGGCCGGTCACACTGCACAGGGGAAACCAGGATCTCACCACAGCTGCTTTCAGAAAGGAACTAGATCAGAGTACAATTTGGGGAACGGTCAGCAGGGAAGCAAAGCGACAGTCTTGGAGTCACCAGCTCTTTGGAGACACATCTGTGAATAAAATGTAGCTCTGCGGCAGCTGAGTACAACTGCCTGAACAGAAGACAATCTCTGAAGCATCCACGTATTAGATAATGACACATACAGTACAGAGCACGGAGCACACAGTAAGGTAAAAGTAAGGTACGGCTCAGTGCTAGACATGATACACTATCAATCCTAGAGCTAGGCTCGCCAATGAATACCATTGCTCTGGCAAGGTAATTGTACAGTGTCATGATATTACAGTATTTTATGAAATATGGTAACATGACTTTTATATAATAATAATACTATGCAAACAAAGGATATTATCGTCTGAAAGCCGGCGAACCTCAGAAAACAAGTGAAAGCGTTTAAAAGCCCGGTACCTGTCTTTGCACAGCTTCTATTCTGCTAACAGGCATGACCCCACCTATGGCATTTAGAGGCGTACTGGGGCGGGCGGGCGGGCCGGCGGGCCGGCCCTAAACAGAAAAACAAGCCAGGTGCAGAGAGCTGTCAGAGAGACAGGGTAAAAACGTGGACTGGGTTTCCTGGTGCAGAGCTGCCAACGCAGCTGCCGGGAGGCTGCATCTGCAGGCAGGTGAGTACACAAATGTGAAGTTATCATTTGTGGGCTTTACTTCTGGGGGACGCAGACGCTTAGCCCATGCCCTGCTTTCTGCCAGCAAGTTACTATGCACTTGCTGCTCTGTAGTAAGTGCTTGACAGCCTGCTCTTGATGTATGCAAAGTAAGTAGCTGCTTCTTTTAGAGAGTGATAAAAGTTGAAGCATCTTACACGAGCCAGAGAGAAAAGAGCTCACACATGCACAACTGCTGTGTAGCAGCTGTACCCACAGCAGGTTTTCTGCGTGCCGAGTTGTTACCCTGCGGGGAAGAGAGGCAAACTCTCTTGCACACTTCCTAGGGTAAAGCCCTGTACTCAGGCAGCTGCCCGGACTGCAGCTCCCGTGACCGCTCAGCTGAGCCCAGGGAATAAACCGAAGAACTGGAGGTGGATTGAGAGACAAGAGGACACGATGGTGGGAGCAGCCAGAGCTCAGAGAGCAGGGAAGGGGACAGGGATGCGGTCCTAGTTCGGGAGGGAAAGCACAGTTCGCAGCTTGAAGAGGTCGGAGCAGAAGCCTGGTGCGCTATTTGGGATTCATAAGCGAGCTACTCCACGTGGGGTGGCTGCTGCTAGTGAGTGATTTAAATCTGGCCTGCAGTGAGGAAAAGAAATCTTTGTCCCTAACTTTTGATTAGTGATCTCTACTAGTACTTGCAACAGTAGTAGAAAATACTACAGAGACTGTGTGATAACAACTCAATATTAAAATCCGTGAATTCATATTTAAATAGGTGGAAAAGAAACATGGTTCTTTGCAATCTAGCATTTCCCCACTTCTGCTACCATTTGAGCAGTAAAGGTGGGTGGGTACCAAAGATCCTTATAAATCATTTTGCAAAGGTAAATTAAGAGCATCAGATTAGAAAACTTCATTCACTAAAACACTAAAACAGCGGCTGTGGAAAACTGTATTGCCCAAGCAGTTTGTGTCAGCGGACAGATACTAGAGGTCTGAATTTCAGGTTATATTAACAGCATTTTGTTCTTCTGTGCAACTTCTCTTTCAGAGATTTCAACATATCCTACCTCATACATCACCACTGTAAGGAAATGCCATTATATGACTTTCAGCTTGTGTACAGTAAGGAAAAACTAGTTGCAATTTGCCTATTGTCACACAGCAAAACAGGGGTAAATTTGGCTTGAGTTCCAAGAGTTTCTTTCCCCTTAAACGTGCTTTAATTGCTAGATACAAATGACTGCTTTAAACGAAAGGATCACATAATGGGCGCTGTAAGTGAGGCACCTCTCTTTCCTCATATTATTTCTGTTAGTTTAAATCTATCATGCAGCAAAAGGACAATGTTATTCATCTCATACCATGTATCACAGAACGTCTTTCAGCCAGGACGGTTCAGAACAGACAACTGATGAAGCTTAGCTTTGATTTTGATCCTCTACTACAAAGAGATGTGTTACTTTAAAACAAAGGTCATTTCACCTGCATGGAGTGCCTATTGCATATGTCCCTATACAGGAACAGTTTGATGAGGTAAAAGGTGTGAAAGTGTTTTAATTTTCTTACAGAATTGCTTTTCTTTCTGTAATAACAACAAACCGGCTGAAAAACCTCTAACATATTCCTTCCATGGGCCAGTATCGCTAATCCGTAACAAGCCAGCAACTGCATTAGCTTACTCGTGAATATTCCACGTAGCGTGGCGGAGGCCTGTATGTCTGCTGCTCACTTTTATTTATTGCCTACGTTATTTTGGACTTCCTGGGTTTCTAATGGGACCTTCATTACATAGCTATATCATTAAAGCTTCAATCTTCCTAGAGCAAAGATTGAAATAAAAACCATGACACTTATTGGAAGGAACTGTGATCAGTTTAGTCTTCTGTAGTATCAGAGAATTTCAAACGTTTTGGCAAGCATTCGGCACATAGGTATAATTAGCTTAGCACATACTAGCTAGCCTACACTAGCAACTACCATCCACCCATAAACCAGAACAGTGTTTGCTTAAATTGAAACTGAGCATAGGGAAAAGCGTTCCAGAAAAGTAATCCAGGCCTAAGCGCACAAGTCATGCTTTGTGGACATGAAGCCTGCAGCACAGCTGCTTCCTTCCAGTCCAAAGCCGGGGAGCTTAAACACCTCCTGAGGATCGCTGTTAAGAGACTGGCAGCACTCTCAGTCAGTCATGTACCACATCTCGGGAGAAGGGCAGGAACTAGCAGTTGAGAATAAGACCAGGAGCCGGTTAGGGCAGAGGAGCCCTACAGAGAACTGCTGCTCCCTGCCCCGCAGCAGACGGTTACAGGTCAGCAGCGCTCTGAGCTCCCCTGCCTGGCGGAGCTGAACGGAGCAGCACGGGCTTACCTGGGCAGCTGCAGCGCACAAGTCGCTTCAGAAAGTGCCGCTTCTCAGCTATTAACAACTGCGTCAGCCCATATTATCGCACCAGGCAGAGTCAAAAACAGCAGAGATGCTGTGAATGAACTTGGATCAGCGTTCAGTCACCTAATTGCACCAGTACACTTGCCAGTTAATCCAGCTTTGCATTAGGTTTTGTGGGTAATAAGCACTAACCTCCATTTCACAAATGGGAAGGCTGAGATGTAGCAAAAAGCCAGAGCCTCCGTGGCTGCCCCAGGGGAAAGGCAAAAAGATGCAAAACCAGAACCAGGGCTCCTGATTAAAAGCCTCCTGTTGCTTTTATTGTTCAGGTAAAAAAATTTCTAAGAGTAATGATATATTTTTATCTTTTCAGGATAGCGTTTCATCACTTAGGGTGTTTATTGTTATTTATGTGTCCATTAAACCCACAGTTACATGGGGGAAAAATTAATCTGAGAAATAAAAATTTACCTTGCACTAATGTTCAAGATATAACTCTGTGATATCAAAATCAGTGCTAATGACAGCGTCTTAAAGAGACTACAGACGCTGAACAAAATACCTGTGATGTGCTAATGAACCAAGCTTGTTATAAATCCCTCTTCAATATATACGTGGGGAGACGATGTTAAAGGTACTTATACCTTTCATCAAGCTATCGCAAAAAGCAAAGGGTGATCTTTCAATTAAGCCTTAGGCCGAGGAGGCTGGCTCCATCCCATGCCTGCTACCAAACTTTTGGCAAGACACAAATTTTTCTGCTCCTGCTGCAGTGTTTGACCAAAGCTTCTCCAGCTCTTGCAATACTTAGAGGCTAAACACGTGACGCCTGTATAGTATTTTAAGATCCTGCTGCAGTGAAATACACTAAGAGGTAAAGTTACAATTATTTTAGCTGCTTATAGAGTTCAGTCCACATACTTTAGCTGCCGTGGCTCGCAGTCCAGTCCTGGTAAGAGCAGTCTGGCTGTCTGCCTGATATCATCACTGTCCACAGTTAAACTGCGCCGGTGCTCAGCATAGGTGATAGCCACTCGCATCCACTCCATCAGCGGGGGCAGAAGCATGAAGGGCCTGTACAAACAATGAAAAAATCCATCACGGTTAACATTGCTCTGCTATCTTGTACCGCGATACAGAAGCCTACTTTGTAGCTTCCTGGGCATACCCCCGGGAGGCAGGCCCAGATAAAACCCTTCCCGCAAAGGCAAATCGCATCCCTGCGCTCAGCAAGGCTGACTGGTAGGTCAGCAGGTGGAAAGAACTGCAGCTTCAGCCACTCAGCCCTGGTTACCCGAACTGCTTCTTATCCAAACTGGGGTCATGCAGGGACGTGCTGATTTTGTGCAATGTATTTTACCCTACGAGAAATCAGGCCATACTGAATATAAGGGATCTACCTCTGCTATTAGCTCCATGTCCGTCCCTCTTAGCTCAAGCGGCTAATGCTCTCTTTTAGACCAGAAGGGTTCTCATCTCCGGTGTGTGGCTTATACAATAATTGCGTTTGTTGTTTTAAATAATCCATAGGTACCGGTTACTCCACAACCCACTTAAGAGTACTGAAGAGATCCTTGATTATTTGAAACTTCAATTAACCTGGCTCGTCCAGTGCTCCCTGCCTTGATCTACACATTATATTGTCACTACTCAGTGGCTTTCCGCCTTCGTTACATGACGAGCTCAGGCCTATGTTTTTGCACCGCTGACCCTCTAGATCTCTGCGGAACTGTTAGAGCTACGTTTTTACATAATTTTCCCTAGAAAACCAGCTAAGAAGGAAGGCTAGAAAGGAACAACGAACATGGAGACACCTCCATGTAGTACAACGCTGCTTAAATTGCAAGCGATTTGAGGAAAAGCAATCTGTCTGTTCCTAACGTGCCCAGCATCCGGCACAGCGAGGTTTTACTCTGTGCGAGGGGTTGCAAGGAAATAGTGGAATACAAAGACAGTAGTAACAGTAGCAACACCAGCCATTCTGGGCGGGCTCACTAGCTTTACTGCTGCTGTAAGAACGAAGACAGCCCTGAGGTTACGTAACAACATAAAGGCATTATAATACTCTCATACGCAATCTCCTATCAATATGGGAGCTGAGCACAATTACCAGGTCCTAAAAGCTGGCAGGAATGGTCAAAAATTTGCTATACACCCCAAACACATTTTTCATAAGCTTCATGTAGCGATACCTGATCTAAATTAACAAATCGGCCTGTACACAGCCACAATGTATATTACTTGCTTGTTGTTCCCCCCCCTACCCTCCCACCCCGAAGGATACCTGCTGCCAGGCTCAGCAATGCCAGCGGTAATTGAAAACACCTTTCCCATCTCCAGTAATGAATTTATTAATGCTGAGAAAAGCCGTTTTGTTTTGAATGCTTAAATGTAAAGAACTGAGGAGAGAAGGCACTGCTTCCTTTATAAGGTTCAGAAAATAAAGATACATGCCAAAAAATATAAAATTACTTCGGTATTAACGAAAGCAGCTGAACCCATGAAAGGCATTTTCAAAGCCGTGCATGTATATGCACGCGTGCGTGCTCACGTGTGAACACAATAGAGTAAGCAGCACAAATCCTGTTAGAAATCATTTATCAAAATGGGATTTGTAAGCAGAACTCCTTTTGTATGGCTTTGAACATCCTTCAGGCTAGAATAACTCTACTCCATAAAACGTGCGCCATCTGTTTCCATTTTGCCAACGGCAAGGTACGCTCTTAAAAAGGTGCCACAAATCTCTTTACAAAGCAGCGCGTTATTTTTCCCTCTGCTCCTTCTTCCCTTCTCCCGAGTAGCACAGAAGTATCTACAAAAATCACAGATCCATTCCAGCATCTGATCAATCCTGGCTTGCCAACGCAGGGTGCTCCTGACAGAACGTTACCTACTGCTTTTACCAGCCTACTTTTATGGCAAACAGTCAAAACGTTAAGGCTTCTACATTCCTCCCTTTGAAAATTATCCAGTAGCTTGGAAAGGCTTTCTTGAAGTCCAGCTTGAATTCCCCAACCCCTTTAGGCTTTCTAACTGTAACTCGTCCCAGACGCACAGGATGAATCACTACAGCCAACACACAGAACAGCCCGTTCAGAGTTGACTGACTTCCCTAAGGGAAGAGGAGCAGTCCACCATGTGCGTTTGGAGATGCATGCAGCAGTCTATTCCAGAAAACTTCAGTCTTTGTCTGGCCTACAACAGAGGTGACATTTACATCACTTAACCTCAGACATTTAAAGGAGGAGCCTAAATTCATTATCGAGACTTTCTACATACTCACTCAGCAGAGCCTCCAGCAGACAATTTAAAGCTCCCAACTTTTTGAGGATGAAGAGGTAGGCTAATGCACTGGAACTAAATACCTGAAGTTGGATGGGGAGGAATACCTGAGGAGCAATGAAAAAGTCTTACTAGTGATCTTACCTACCACCTTTTGTGTCTGTATGCAATTACAGTGTTCAGGCCACATCACAGCTTCCCTGACACTTTCATGTTGGGAATGCTCCTGGACAGAGAACTAGGTCGATCCGTTTTGCAGCTCTAGCACAACAGTCCTGATGATGTTACCAGGTGATGAGCCATAATCTTGGTAATCATTGCACACCGTACTGTTCAGCAAGAGGCTGTCCTCAGCCAGGAAAAAATACCATCGAGCCTGCCCCAGAAACGACACATACTATGAAGAAATTTCCATGCTGTAAAAATAGCCATGTGCCAGGGTTATAAATGGCTTGCATGCACAAGCAGACCTTGAATATGAAACGTCTGGTTCGGCAGGAAAGGAAAGGAGAAAGAATTTTTATCTCAGTAGGCATTTCCAAAGGTTTTTAAAATTCATAGCTCAACAGACTGCCCGGTTACCCTGGACCCAAAAGAGATTTCGGATTGCAAAAGAAGTGGCATGAAGGACATTTTCCTCTTGCTGCTATCCTAATTTGTCCCAAACCCCATCACTCACATTGCTGTGCAAGTCAGATAAATCATTATGCTAGCAGGATGGACTAATGGTCTCAATTTCAATTTTCCTATAAAAGCTTTACTTCTCCATAAAATTTCTAGCTTGAGCTTGGCTTTCTATTCTTCTTCCCTACTTCTTTTGTCCAACTATTTCCTTCCTTCACATTGTCCTCGTGGGCATGCTCACAGGAAGTTTTATCTTACTTTTCTTGCTGACAATATGTCAGATAAGCAGTATTGCTGCATGATCTGAGCAGAGAGAGAGAGAGAGAGAGAGAGAGATTAATTGAATTAAATGCCAACACTGGGTTTCATTGCACTGAGTATTTTTTTTTTCAGAAAATAAACACAATTATTATCCCTGTTGCCCTTAACCTGGGCTTCTATCTGCCTCGAGGGAAACACTGATCATTTCACAGTCTGAAAAACACTGGAGGACGAGGAAGGGAAGAAATCTTCACGGAAAATTAACTGGGAGATGCCGCAAGCTAAAGAAATGAATTTCTGTCCATGCATGTCTGTCTGTGCCATGTTCTGTAACGTGCGCTTTCCTCAGGACTTTCTGCCATTCAGAAGCATTTGGCAGCTCATTAAATTCTGCACATGAATTGATTCAGCCCTGGGAAACTACTGGACTCCCAGCAGTAGTTCACTGCTGTCCAAGAACACGCACTCTCTGTTTTCCATGAAGAACACTACCATTGCTATGTTCACTTTTCTTGTCATGGAGTTGTCTTAAAAGAGAGTAATGCCATGTGTAAACTGGGGAAGTACATAGCACTTGAAAGGAACAGTCACTATTCACCTACTATGTACCTTGTAAAGAATCACAGTAACGTCTGAGGCTGTCACGTGCTGTCAGTATTTTATCCATAGATTTCTTTGAATTTTTCTCCAGTTAGAATTGGACAGCCTTTCCGCTCCGGGGGGGACCGGGTTGGAGACGTGCTCAGAGAGACAACGGGATCTGTTGTGTTTTTTCCCCCTCATTTGAACAAAAACGCTTTCTTTTATTTAGGCATAACCAAGAAGAAAGGTGCCAACAGCATCAGCAGCACTTGGCAGTGAATTTATAGCAAGCTCCTTTGTAGAAAGTGGTTGTAGCTTTTCTGCGCTCATTTGGTTAGAATGGCCCAGGACTTGATTAACATGTGGAGATCATGCGTGGCAGTCTTTTAGGATATACTTGGCAATCGCAGACTTCCAGTGTTAACTGGCCCACCTCAAAGAAATTAGTCCCCAAAGTGAGCTCTTCTTGAAGAATTTTAGAAGCCCCAGGGTCACGACGTTTTTGGCAGAGATAAGTTAATTGTACGCAAAAGACGAGAGGCCTCCTCAAGAGTCAGAAAATTATGCCATCTTTCCTCCCATTTCAATGCTAGCACAATGCACTTGGAGATTGACTTTCAGAGGTGGGGTGGGGGGGGACCACCTACAATCTCAAGAAAAAGCAGTAGGCTTTCCCAAAGGGAACAGCCGTGCTGTCAGATTCCTCCCTCCTGCCTGCGTCCCCAAAAGGGTCCAATGACAAGACTGGCAGTGGGGCAGGGAGGAGACTGCTGCTGGCTCTCCTCTCCTCCTGTGCTGGTTCCTAGCCTCTTGTTTGCTACAGCAAGACAAAGGGGGCAGCAGCGACAGCAAGAGCAGGAAAGAAAAATCTTGTTCTTCTAAGACAGGAAAGATTCTCCTAATGGGCAACAGGTGAGAACAGCAAAATTTGTTTCCCTCTTGGCAGTCTGAGCTCATCCTGAGACACATATGCAATAGTCTCCCCCATCCCGCCTGTCTCATATTTTTCTAACTGGGATAACTTTAACACTGCAACACACATGTCAATATCAGAATACATATGGTGAGGATTGGCCAAGATAACTCCTCCACATTTGATTTGCTGAAACAATACATAGTCTACCCGTAGAGAAGAATCCCAGATCTTTAGAGACATGAGTTTTTTGCAAGGAACTAAGAGGGTGAGAGGGGCTCTCAGTGCGGTGAACTAATGCTCGAGTTTAACGCTAGAACCAAACTCTGTTTCAGTTCCATTTTACCCTAAAACGATGAGCTTGAGCTCACCACCGCAAAGTGAGTTAAGAACAGTTATAAAAAGCTATAGA